TCGTGTAGGCGGGTCTGCAATTTGTGCCCTGTTTCTCCAACGTAATTGCAGTCTCCATCGTTGCAACGTATTTTGAAGACAACTGCGGAAGTTTTAGTAGGGGGCAGTCTGTCTTTAGGTTGCATCCCTCGGCGGCGTATTGTCGCCTGAGGTAGATGGGCTCTGCTTACTCCAGCAGGTTGTAACAGTCGAGAGACTGCTTCGGAGACCCCTTTTATGCAGGGAATGGCCCTCTAGACTTCGGGTTGCTGTATTGCTGCCCTTCGTCTGCTCACTCGGCGTTTGCTTTGGTTGATAAAAGAATTCGGGTATCCATTAGCTAGAAAGAGGTCACTAAGGTACTGTTGTTCCACTCGTTTGTCAGCTTGTGTGCTGCGATGTGTTTCAACTCTTTGGAAAGGAGTACTTACGCAGCTACGTTTGAGAGACAGAGGTTGATTGCGGTTGAAGTGGAGTATTTGTTTCGTGCTGGTGGTTTTCCTGAATATTATGGTTTGCAGTAGTCCAGTTGAACAACGGCGCACCAGGACTTCGAGGAAGGGAAGTTGGTTATTTCTTTCAGTTTCAATTGTGAATTTGACATTTGGGTCAACCGAGTTTTAGTTTAGCTGAATATCGGATGTTTTGAGAATGAGGAAAGTTTCGTCGACATAAAGAGCCCAAAAATTCGATTTCTACTTGGTGAAGGCCAAGTGTCAATCCGTTGAAGGACCACTTCAGCAATCACGCCTGATAGGGGGGCCAATTGGGGTGCCTTTAATTTGTACATACATTAGTCCTCCATATGTGAAGTATGTTTTGAGGTAATACCGTAGAATTTCGAGCAAATGTTCAGATATTAAGTGCGTGTCACTCTCTTCGTAGTGTTCGGTTGGGATGAAATCAAGCTGTTGATGTCAAATTCGCCCTCCTCTTAAAAGCCTTCTTGGTTGTTTTCTTAGCTAACGCCGTAAGCTACCTAAACGGCTAAGGAAAGGTCTAAAAATGTACTGTCTGAAATAGAGTCCGCAGTCCGTTGTGATTTCAAGTGAATATTTTGTTCGATTGGAACTGGTTCAGTCTTGAATAAGGCTTCAGGGCCCGACAGTGGACTAGTTTTTCATGTAAACACGTTCTGCTTTTAACATTACCCCTTTGATTGTTTGTTTGATATTAAACAAAAAATCCATATTGACAGGGAAATGAAAACTACTCCTGTTTGATTTAGTCTACGCTCAAAAGTACTATTTGGAACCTAAGTTAGGCATGAATACTATGCACAGCGACATCGTAAACATCGTTCCTGACAAAAAGGAGTAGAAAGTGAGTCCCTCTCAGTACTATTCCTTGTAACAAATTATTTTTACCATTGGAATCAACTTATCAGATTATAATGATTAACTCTGACCTAAGCGTCAAGTCAAGTTTATTAGGGGAGATATAGGCAAAGGCCTTTGAACGGGGTTGAGAACAGGTTTCATGCTTAAAGTATTTACCTCGGCCTAAACGAAGTCTATAAAAACAGAAACAATAAGGGATGGACGTTATGCTTACTTGCCGAAGAATCGAACTGAAGAACATCCGCCTTGCCCTTCTTGTAAGGCGAGCTCCGGCTATGCCAAGGGCTGCATTCTGCAAGCGGCATGCATAAGAGTATATATGAACTCGCAATTTGAAAACAAAAATACATCAAGCTAGTGTTATAACATAAGATATTGTTACTATATGACAAACAATCCATGTTAATCGAGAAGCCGTAAAAGACAGAAAAATAACCAGCGAAAATCCTCCTAATCGCCTCCTAGTAAATGCTCCTGTTTTCAAAAACAAAAACATCGCTTGCACGGGTCACAGGGTAGTAGAGAGTTTTTTTTACTTAACGAGCTTTATGCATTTTTATGTATGCGTGGATTGTTTGTCTGGCAGACATGCAGGATTGCGAGGCACAATCGCCCTTCTCGACCGGTCACGGCGGTCAAGCCGACTAATAATATCTTTGGGTATTGTAGTTAGAATGGATCTTCTCCGGTAGGGAGTAACAGAAGGTCGATGCAAAACCTGAACAGTCGTCTCCCGAGCATTTTATTCCCTGCCCTCATTTTACCGAATTATAACTTTCACATTAACCTAACTCCTCCTAGTAAATGGTAAAAAAACACCTGATAAGGACAAATACAAATATGGAATCTACAGATCCTCAAAATCTTCATAAGCTTGTGGACATTATTTCACAAAATATGTATCGTAAAAAGAAAAAAAGAACTAACTTATTTTTTTCTCTATCGTGGATGGAACAAGAACACGTTTATAGATGTGGCCTCGGAGGGGGTTGTGAATTCAGGACAGCAAGGGCATGACTTGACTACAGTCAACACTCTAACCCACCGAGCCACGGGGTTCCCACTTAGATCACCTTGCTCACCTAGTCTGCTGCAATGTATTAAATTCGCCAATTTGGATACAGTTAACTGACAATCGAAGAGGCACTTCCGAAGCAACCAATCTAAAATTTTATCGGATGACTTGCAGGCTCACTTAATTAGCACGGTTTTGGTAGATTGAAATAATTACTTTGAGTCACCGAGTTTTTAAAAGTTGGGTTAATTGAAAAATACTTTCGTTCTCTCAATGCTCTAGTAAAATTTTATTTTGCTTCGGAAAGGTACTCCTCAAGTAATACGCATTTGTCAATTATGTAAATATTAAAAACCGAAAAGTTCCTCTTAGGTCAACGGAAACCGCCAAAAAATAATGTCACTTGTAAGTACGCCATCCGCGGAGCAGAAAAAAATAAATCTTTATTCTACAAACTAAGGCGAATATGGGGGTCAGAGCTCCTGGCTGCAATTAAAATGAAAGCACGAAAGTGAAAACCAACAGGTCGGATGCACTCTACACTCTAGCACCTTCTGTCATATAAAAAAGAACGTATCATCATCCGGCAGCAACTATGCGTACTAGATTCATGTAGATTAGCAAGAGAGTGTAGTTTATTAAGTCCTATGCCGGGACTGTCTCCGCATTGAGTAAGCCGGATCAGAGGAGTAACCCATTGTTTCAAGTCGTCTATCGTACCCCAGAGCACGGGTTACAAACTATTTTCACACGCCGCGAACGCAAAAGATTTGATATTTGTTTTCGCATCTGCTTAAGCAGTTTCAAAAAGCGAAAACAATGTACTGTAATTGAATTTCCACAATTAACAAAAATATGGACTATTTTGTTCTTGCTTATGGGATGGCAGTCTTTCCAATCGTAACACTTTCTTGCTAATAGCAGTCCGCTTATCAGCCTCTGAATTTAGTTTTTTTATTGACAAAAGGGCACTTAATCCAGACTGATATACGTATGTCGTCGCAAATCGGGTGAGCACAGTAGGTACCCTTGCACTAAGTTTTGGGAACATAATTATTGCAGAAAACTAATATGTCTCCAGAAAAAAATTATCAGAGTGTACTTTAAGAACACGGTTTGTGTGCAGTTCAAAAGATCTTTCTGCACTATTTCATTAGGCGATCCATTATTCAAATTGAAAGAACATGGGTTTTATTCATGTTTTCAAAGTTTTTACTATTCTCTTTCCTTGAAA